CCCTCACCATGGTTATATCTACACTGGACTTCTCTGCTGGAAACTTCTTGCTGTCGCTACCAAAAATGCAACTACACTGGTGGCAGCATCAGCGTAGACCCAGCCGCTGGCCTTTTAACCACTGTGTTGTCTGTCCCCAGCACAGCGGGGGCTGGAGTAGGGATGTACATATCCATTTAAACACTGAACTGACTAAGCGATGTAATTGTAAATGTTTAAGCAGTTAACCGTGCGGCCGGAGTCCTGCTGCAGGTGGGGGACTGTTCCAGCCAGCTGGGGTCCTGTCATGCAACAGGCATTGGATTGCTCCAGCCGGCCGGGGTTCTGTCAGCTGGGCCGCAACGGGCGAGGGGCTGCTCCCCACACCTGGAGCATCCCTTGAAGAGGACAACTATGCATCTTAAACACTGGGCATGACAGTAAGGGTACCGGGAGTTCTTTGGAGCCCAAGGCTAGCCCAGTCTGCAACTAACAGTGAGGGACTGTGCTTCAATTACATACTGCAGCCCAGGGGTTTGCAGGCATTTGCACAGGGTCGGCCACATTTTAACGAGGAGACTGTCTCATGAAATGCTTCCCCTTCCCAGTCCCGGCTGCATGGACCACTTCGCCCCTCACTTCTGTTCATATAATATCCCCGTGGTAATTACGGCAATTGCTTGCGTGGAAACGTAACATTAAAAAAGTCCATGGCGTGTTTTTAGGTGTCTTACGGCAGTTTAGCAGCTGGGAATGAGGAGGAGGGCCAGAACCAAGACATCAGTCAGACCACCACGGATCCTAGTGCAAGACCCTCTGCTCTACAGCAGGGTGGGCAACGTTTTCAAACCACATCAAAATCTAGAACAAGTGCTCAGCAAAGAGCAGCATACGGATGCCTATTTGCATGACTGAAAATATACAACTTAGTATTATTGGTAATTGACATGATGATTATCGGTAGCACAAATGAGACATGGGACTCGCAGACTAGTTTATGGGACTTCTGCTGCTGCATCTTTTTGCACATTTCTTTGACGTTTACATCATAACTGGTCAAATCCAGCTTCATGCAGGTATTCAGGCTGTCTTCTGTCAATCTTATGGCAGGGGCTGGGGGTGTGGGTTGGGATAAATGAGGGGCTCAGGGCAGGGGGGGTGGGTGTATGATGGACTCAGACACAGGGTTGGGGGGGTGAAAGTAGAGAGGATAAGAGAGCACCTGGAGGGGGGGGTGGGTCCTCCAGTGACTTAATGGATAAGGCATCAGCCTCCAGAGCCTGGGGCTGTGGGCTCAAGTCCTCCCCACACCCTGGCCCTGTGCAGCCCATCCTGGCTGTGCGCCAGAGCGAGGCCACCACCTGCTTGCCCAGGGCTGGAGCTGGCATCAGCTGACTGTAGGGAGGATAAGGCAACCAACTGCTGGAGGCAAAGTGAGTCCCCCAGTGTCCCAATGAATAAGGCCTCAGCTCCTGGGGTTACAGGTTTGAGTCTGCCCACCCACCACTCCAGGAGCAGCTGGTCAGCCACCACCAAGGAGGGGGGAAAGCAGGGCAAGCAGTTTGCTCTGGAGCTGCTGCCAGGGTGGGAGCAGCAGGGCTCACTGTGTGCCAGAGTTAGCATTTCTCATTTTGATTTAAAAGTTGCATGTATGTGGGGAATGACAAAAGAGCCAAATTTGGTTCCGTACTGAGCCATAGGTTGCTGACCCCTGCTCTACAGAATGGGCTGTGATGCTACCCTGTGCCCGGTACAGGGACTTTAGACCAACTGGACTTCTGCATCTCTACTCGTGTCCTTCGAAGCTTTGTGAATGGCATTTTTCAGAACAGAAATGTGATACAGTTGAACCTCTCTAGCCCAGCAACAGCCACGGTCCGGCATGATTTGAGTTAGCTGGATGTCCACTAATTATGGATGCGGCCAAGTTTCCCACGGTCCCATAAAGTTTTATAGCCACCAGGCCTGGCTCTCAGGGTTTAGCTCTAATTTACCCCAAATGTCCTCTAAGAGTCCAGCAAGCCGTGAGAGTGTCGGTCATGCTGCTAGACAATCCCGACCATCCGTGGTCTGGCAAATTCTCTGGTTTGGCACCGGTCAGGTCCTGAGGGTGCCAGATTAGGGAGGTTCAACTGTAGTTACAAGAGTCAGAGGTCTTGGCTTTTACTGTCATTCAATGAAATCAGAATTCCAGCCCACCATCACCAACAGATACTGCTCCTATTTACCTGCAGCTCAAACAGCTTTACCAACACAAAGCAGTGTTACTCCTAGTCTACAGAAGGGGAAACTGAGGCATGAGGCAGGCAAATGGGCTAATTTTCAGAGGTACTAAATGGAGCTGCACCCAACTTCTGTGACTTCAGTGTTAGGCTCCATGTGTCTGTAAATCACACCACAAGTTTTCTGACCAAGGGCTCACAGTAAGTGTAGCAGAATAGGGAATGAAACCCAGGTCTCCTCCATGCCAGCCCTTCACTAACTAGTATGCAACACTGCCTCTCCCTTCGAAAATATAGAGGTGCACAGGGAGCGCCCATCCCGGGTGGTTTGCAAAGCAGATGGCAGAAACAAAAGAACAGGTTAAGTAGTTTAGCTCGTCATCAGCCCAAATTCGAGGTGACAAGGGAGGCTTTCAGAAGGAGAGCAGAGGGGAAGAAATCAAGACGTGGTGAAGCTGTCATCCTGTACAGGTTTGGAGAAAAGCCTTTTAATAATCAAAATAAACTAAACAAACGATTTAGATTGTAAATGAATAGAGCTTTACCTGGTCTCCACCAGCATTTTCCCTGCTTTTCCATAGGCATGAAATGCTAGCAAAAGAGAAAACACACCACTGTGAGCTCAGGGAGGGTGCAGCCTGTGACATATACATCAGTTAGAAATTAACAATAATAGTGATGAAGGGCAATTTGACAGGAATCTGCTAGCTTTGCATTTTGGGGCTGGTTTCCCCTGCCCACCCTCCCATTTTCTTTTTTCAGACATACCATCTGAGTATCAAAACCCACATAAGACAAGAACAAAGATGAGGGAAAGATACAAAGCAGGTTCTTTTTTTACTCTGCTGAGGGGGGAAAAAAGCAGCGCTAAGTAGCAGTTACACATGGCAACCATTAGAAGAAGAAAGCCAGCGTGGAAGAGAAAATATGCATGGAGAAGATGCTGTGTGGCAAAAAGTTACTACAGTGCAAAATTTCAGTCAAGTTCCCATTTTTATTTTTTCCTTCCCATTATAACTGAACTGCCTGATGTTGCTGGATGGGAGATCTGGAATGCTGCCCAGAATGCTCAATTCCATTCCCAGAATACCCGGCATTCACAACCCACACCATAGGGATTTTGCCAAAAGCCTTTTTTTTCCCCCCAGACTTTGGCCGTGGCTGGTAGCAGAAAATAATCAGTATCCTTTAAATGACTGGGCGTTCTGAAAAGAAAGAGCCAGGAAAGTTCTGCTTATACTTTTGGAGACCTCTTACTTGGGGTAGGGGGACTTAAGACCTCCAGTTCTAACACAGACCACATTGTTTGTGGCATTAGTCCTGGGTAGCTAACTCTAGCTGAATCAAGCAAAGAACGGCCTGTTTTCTCCCCGCTGAGCATCCCTAGAGGTAGCTGTACACTACACGTGCCTGAAGGCAGCCAAGAAATAGTTTGTCCATCTCTGGAAGCGCCTTCTGTGGCCTTCACTGTTATCGCACAAATGCCGTATTTCCTTGGCACCTCCCCAGTCTGAGAATGAAGGAAATCAAATGGCCATCTCTACAATGGGAAGGAAAGCGTGTGGGAAGACACCACTGGAAAAAAATAAGTCGAGGCTCCTGTCATGTGAATAACCCAGAAGGCAGGCAGCTTGGTAAAGTGTTCAGTGAAATCTGGTTGTGTTAGATCTCTGGGCTCCTGCTCGCCGCTTGTCTGCGCAGAGAGGTTGCAATATTAAAATGGGATGAGCAAGCCATACCTCTGGACTTTGTCTTGCCTGCATGGAGGATCCTGGCTAAAAAGGGGAGTGGCTGTTGAGTGGGCAAGCTACGTTCTGTGAACCTGAGGGCTGGGCATGCAGGAAAAGAAAAAGCTCCTTCCGGGGATGATGGGTTCAATGACCTGATCTCCACAAAGGACGGCTGTTACTGCATCATCCCAATAAACCTCTTTTAATGTCATGTAAAAAGTGCAGGCACCTCCGGGCAGTAGCGACAGTCCAGGCTCCGGATTTTATGAAACGATCAGCGTCCTTGGCTACTCTGAAATAATGTTTTAATGAGAATGAGTCTTCAAAAACATGTTACACCAGATGTCCCCATCTGGGGCTGCTAGGAAAATTGGATCTTTTATCTTTTCGAAGAGAAAGGAGGAGATGGACTGTACAAAATTACTCAGCCAAACCACTTCACAATGTGATCTCCAGAAATCTCACCAGCTGAGCACAGCTGGATTTGGTCAGTACTTGGAGGCCCTTCCACAATAAACTCCATGACTGCTGCACAGTGGCCTTGGCAATTCCGCACATGGCTTTCTTCTCAGTGCCATGTGCCCCGTCCTGCTTTCCGGAGCACCAGTCATCTTTCCGAGCCCACAGCCCTTTTGGCAGCAGGAAGGAGTTGCTTTACCTCTTGTCCTGATCAAACTCGAGCTGCGGTAATTCCATCCCACTCCCCGCATTCCCACGACAGACTCACTTGGATAATATATTCATTTCTTAAGATCCTAACGTGCTGCACACCATTGCTGCGCAGTGACAGCTGCTAAATGAGAGAGCAGGGGGAAAATACTTGGAAAAGCTAGAATATAGATTCTCTCAGCTGGGAAGTGCTGCATAAATTAAGGTGTTTATGGTAGACTGCCCTGACCCTGGCTCTTTTGTTACTGCATTTACTGATCTGAATGTTCTTCCGGAAGGGACTGGCTGGCTGAAGTTAATTTGCAAAACTTTCCTGCATCTTTCAGAGCTGCCAAAGCCTCCCACAGAATCAGCTGCTGGGGCTGCCAGGAGCTCGCGCAGATGTACGGCGTACAAGCAAACGGTGACAAAGACTGTCTGTGTAGAGTCGCTCAACCTTGATGCATTAGGATGCATTGTAGGAGTGCGGCTTTCATTCGCCCGGAGGATGTCTTTCCTCTCAGCTCTGTCCCTCCTCTGGCTGCCCGTGGTGGCACCTCTCCCAGGACAAAGATGAGGAGGAAGGGAAGGCGCTTCTTTCAGTGCCAGCGTTTGTGGGACAGGGGGTGCCAGGAAGTTTGGAAGCACAACTGGCCTCTGTGTCTTTGAGCTCTTGGGCTTTGGAAAGAGCGGAGAATCTAGTCTTCCTGGGAGACACTCCAAGGTGAAGGGGGACTCTCTGTATTTCAACAAGAAAGAGGCAGCACACAAAGGCTTTCTGTACCGAGGAAGGGGGTGGAAGACCCGCGATGGGCAGCTGCTGCAGGGGACGAGGGGCCATGTGAGACTCCACCTGAGGGCTCAGCTATAACTGAACCATCTTTTCAGTACCAGAGGAAGAACCTTGGAGACCACAAGAGTTTCCTAATCATCTCAGCTTTTGAGAGATCCTGAGCAGACTGCATATTGCTTTCAAGTCTTTTCTAGATGGTGAGCCCAGCCAATTCTCTCCACTGACTCCCCGAGAGGAGGTATCCAACTGGGGACACACAGGATGGACTCAAGGGCAAAGGAAGCAACTTCCACCAATGAGAATCTTCCATCTCCATCACCTGCAGGAAGAAATCCCACCCCTGCAAAGGTGAAAACTGAAAAGCACAGGGCAGGATTTGCAACCCTTGGTACAGCAGCTCAGCTGACCCCTATTCCGCCGAGATCTCTGTGGAGCTCTACTTTCAATCCGCGACTCTCATGTGTCATCTGAAGAGTTCAGGCATCTCCTCCCCCCAGTATCCTTGGGAATCAGAGGAGAGGTCACAAACTAATACTGGCACCAAACAATAAGGAAGAGGGATGGAGAACTCTGCCAAAAACCCACACATGAATCTTGCACATGTTTTTATTTTCTTGGCCACTTTGTGCACCATTTCCTCTCACCTCCCCCTTGCTCTGCCATAAACATTCGTACAGCTGAAATCCAGGAAGCCGATGCTCTATGCCAGGCACTCAACTGGCAGAACCCAATGTCCTCGGTAGCACACTGGGTGGGGTAGCTAGCGGGTTTCATAGCGAGACCAATAATTTACAGCAGACACCCACTATGCTAGCTCCTGAGAACTTGTGTTTTGATCATCCAGAAACCGCATCTCCTCCTCCTGCAGTGCCGAGTCAAAACAATTCTGTGCCTATTAACTTCACAATCAAAGGCAGAATTAAACCCTCAGATTACTCTGGTGACAAGAAGCAGAAGGAAGGGATAAACAAGGTAGGCAACACACAGTAAAAACGAGGCCAAAAATAACGTTAATAATTCAGCAATATTAGCATGAAAGTTGTAAATTAAGAGGCCAGAGTAAAATTCCTTTTAAAAAAAAAGGGAAGTCCCACAGCAGAAAATTCTCACCGAGTCCTGGGTAGGTCCTACGCTTGCTAAGATTGGCCGATTTCACCAGGTACATGCAGGATTGATGAGTCATCCAGGAACAGAAAATCAGCAGCAAGGCTCCCAGGACAATGCCACACTGCACGGGAATTTAAAAAAATACAAGCACAAGCTGGAAAGCAAGCCGTTTTTCCTGGGGTCTCTCTTACTTCACAGATTCTTACCGCTCCCCCATATCACCTCTAGGCTCCCTTGCACATTGCCAGGCACATTTTGCCCTATTAAAGGAGTTCCCCTGCCTTCAACGGCAGCCAGTAGAAATGTGACATATTCATTCGATTTGATTCACTTGCCTCAGTTTGAGGCTGACACAAAGCAGCCACCTGTTTCCTAGATGGCTGGGTTGCAACACTGTAGTGCAGACAAGTAAAACCAGAGCAATTTACAAAACGGAACTTTCAAGCTGTAACACTGTTTGCGTCTTGTCAACCAGGCGTTTTCAGGGCGCATTCCAGCAGAATTCCCTACCATTCGTAAGAGAATCGTGTACAGCAAGTAGTTATTTTGTAGATCTAGGAGTTAAAAATCGCCGTAACACCTATCCACAAGCATAAGGGGCCTGTCAATGCATTTACAGCACAAAATATGCAGCCAGCGATCTACCCTCCCGCATTGCTTGGATGGTTGATTTATACCTGTTTGCAGAGAACAGTGTTAATCACTGAACACTGATGACAACATCAAGCAACTTGAAACAGACATGAGCAGAGATGGATTTGAGATCTGGGTGTCCCTGTGGCCACTCCTCCTGCTTGCAGTGCCCTGCGCACCGACTCCCCAGAACTCCTGCCAGAGAAATGGGTCAGGCTACGGGGGCTAAGGATGTAAAAAAGCTTTAAAAACAGTAACCATGTAAGTGTTAAGAAATCCAAGCGCTTACATGGTTAACCATTTTGGGGGATTAGGGCGGGAAAGATGCACCCTGCTGACTGCCGCTCCATGCGATGGGCTCTGCAGAATAAGGCTTATATTGCAGAGCCCACAGAGCAGCCAGCACCCAGGAATAGGGCTAGCAGCCAAGAGCCGGTGCATGCCAGGAGCCAGCTTATACTGGCTTCCCACTCCCCAGCAGGAGTGCCAGGCAGGTGATGGGAGCAATTGGAGCATGGGGGCAGCCTTTTTTCTACCACTGGGCACGAGTGATGTTAGATCTCACTGCAGGTACAATTTGTTCTATGTTACTCAAATTAGGTGTGTGACTGGGGCTGCTGCCAGCCCAGGAACAAAAGGCTCATCTCTTTGCATACAAAGCTGGATGACTTGTGGGGCAAAGCCTTTAAAACCGAGCTTGCTTGACAGGTTGCACAGCACTGGCAATGATAAGGCTGTCGACTTCCCATTTTTTTATTCACAGTTGGGGAGAAGCTACTGGGTGGCAACCTTGTTCCAAAGGAGAACAGAAGTTGGGCAAATAAAAATATCAATCTCAGTCAGTCGCTGGAGCATCCCCTCACTTTGCAAGTGAACTGTATAATGGGTAAACTAGTACTGAGAAGATTGCAATATTAGGTAGGGATTTGAAAGTATAACCATGTACATGGTTAATTGATGAGCTTGTGCTCATTGGTTAACGTTCACGGTTACATGAAGGCTCCTAGTATGTGCCAGGCAGTTCAAATTACATTTAAAAGGCAGCGCCGCAGCAGTCTGGACCCAACACGAGCTGGGGCCCTGACCTACTCCGCTGCGGCACTGCTGCTTAAATGTAGTAGGAGACGGGCTCCCTGCATGCCCAGTTTCCACTACATTTAAACTGCAGAGCTGCAGCGGCCCCTTATCAACTAATTGTGAACTCAATACAAATTGTATCGAGTACACGATTAGCCATTTACTCAATATGTCACATCCTTAGTGACCACACCTTTCTGCCTGTTCTGCAAGGTGCCCAGGATGCTTGTGGGCATTGTTACAGCTTGTGTTAAGATACATCACTTTTTCTACATCTCAAAGACAAGTAGATACAACAGAATCTAGTCCCGGTAAGGAAAAGGTGAAAATGGAAAAGTTTCTCTGTCTCCTCCCACTCCTGGTATCATGCTTTTCTAACACTACCTGCAAACTAGAACATGTGCCATATAGAAGTACATCAGAAGCCATCTTCTCCTCTTGGAAGTCACTGCTTATAGCCCTCTCCTCGCACAAATCCCGCCAGCGACAATTGCTTCATGGCACCCTTGGTTACCAGTGCTTTCCCACTTGCACTTGGATAGTAATACTTTGCTCTTCAAGACATAATCTCAGTGATGAAATACTTAGGCTAGTGACGTATCAGAGGGGTAGCCGTGTTAGTCTGAATCTGCAAAAGCGACGAGGAGTCCTGTGGCACCTTATAGACTAACTGAAGTGTAGGAGCATAAGCTTTCGTGGGCAAAGACCCACTTCGTCAGATGCATCTGACGAAGTGGGTCTTTGCCCACGAAAGCTTATGCTCCTACACTTCAGTTAGTCTATAAGGTGCCACAGGACTCCTCGTCGCTTAGGCTAGTGAGTGGGCCATATGAGTAGCCCTCCATCACAGTGGGCCATAAGATTGCCGTAACCAAGGCAGGGCGTCCTGGGATAGGGCAGTTTTTCTAACTGTGCTTGAGTACCTAGAATTTGTGAGGTGTACCAATCAAACTGTAGCAGCGCTCTGACTGGATGCAAAGGAAGGGCACAACTCTTACCTCACTTCACGCACCCTTGCTTCATGTGCGTGTCACTTTAATACTGGTAGGAAAAAAATGATGCAGACAGAACCAGCGGAATCTGGTAACCCTGTGTGTGGGCAACATCTCCTGAGATATGCATAGAACACAGATGGGCCACAGGTTGCCCACCACTGCCTTATTATCACAAGCTATATTGGGAAACCTCCTACGATTGCACCACCACTGCTACTAGCAACAGTGAGAATCCTGATAGGCACTGGCTGATGAAACCCTAACCACTAAGTTATCTACACTTGCTAACGGTAAATAGTCAGAAGCAGTGCTCCTAGTGTAGTACCCACCGGAGAGTTGCACCTAGTGCCAGTGCAGTGGTAGGCAATTTCCCCAAATGTGCGTATACAGCCACACTCGAAGGCTACGTCTAGACTGGCATGATTTTGGGGAAATACTTTTAATGGAAAAGTTTTTCCGCAAAAGAGCATCTAGATTGGCAAGGATGGTTTTGCGCAAAAAGTGCTTTTGCAGAAAAGACTACGTGGCCAGTCTAGATGCAATTTTGCGCAAGAAAGCCCCGACTGCCATTTTAGCCATTGGGGCTTTTTTGTGCAAAACAATTCTTCCCTGTCTACACTGGCCCTCTTGTACAAGTATTCTTGCGCAAGAGGGCTTTTTCCCGAGCAGGAGCGTGAAAGTATTTGCGCAAGAAGCACTGATTTTGTACATTACAAAGTCAGTGCTCTTGTGTAAATTCAAGCGGCCAGTCTAGACGCACCCTTGCAGTGCTTGCCACTCAAAAATGTTAGTGCTTTTTACACCCCTCCGCGATGCAATCTTAACAACCCCCATGACGCCTTAAAAGGCAAGGAAACTGAGGCACAGAACGGCAAAGCGACACACATCAAATCCATGGCAGCGCGGAGACCTGAACGCATGAGTTCAGGTTTCCTGCTGTAACCACTAGATCTGTTTCCACTCTGCAGGGCAGAGAACTCACTTTTCCACTTTGCACCCCCACGCCACGTGTAAGGTTCTGCCCCCCCCACTCACCTGTTTGAAGCAGAAGGGCATGGTGAGCACGCTCACCCCCACGATGCTGTTCACAATGTTCATGATCAGGCCCCAGTTGGACTCTGCCGCTGCGTTTCCTGCTGTAACCACTAGATCTGTTTCCACTCTGCAGGGCAGAGAACTCACTTTTCCACTTTGCACCCCCACGCCACGTGTAAGGTTCTGCCCCCCCCACTCACCTGTTTGAAGCAGAAGGGCATGGTGAGCACGCTCACCCCCACGATGCTGTTCACAATGTTCATGATCAGGCCCCAGTTGGACTCTGCCGCTGCGGCGGACGCCATGGCGCGCGGGGGGGGGGCCAGAAGGGCGAGGACCCCG